CAGAGCCCCCCAGGCCCGGGGCTGCGGCCGGGCCAGCACCAGCCACCGGGGCCAGCGCCGGGCACCTGGGGCTGGCAACGCTCTCCCGAGCTCCTGCTCTTGGTAAATGGGAACACCTGGTGCTGCTTGGCTGGTGATAAATATCCCATCCTGGGGAAGCTCCTAGCTCTTTCCAGGAATAGGGGCTGTTTCCTGCTGGTCCCAGCTCCCTGGGAGCGCAGCAGAGCCCTGCGGCACATCCCACATGGATCTGCTCCCGCGTGCGTCTCGGCTCCCATCCGCTCCCGGAGGCTGCTCCAGGGCTGGAGCAGCAGCTCTGCCCCCACGTAAGGCCCTGTCTTTTCTCATGGTGCTTCTCCCCAGGGCTCCCTGGCCAGGGTGACAGACCTGCACCCAGGGGGATCCCGGGGCGCCTGCCCTGGCTCGGGCTGTGGGGCTTGTGGCCAAGAGCCCCGGAGCGGCTCAGCCGATGGGGAGACGTTGCCACCGTGGCAGAGCGACGTGGGAAGGGGCTTGAGGCTGTGCACAGATCTCTCGTCTTCATTACGGTTTATTTGCTACTCTTGCAGAGGGCTTTTGTAGAGGAAGACTTATTCAGATGCTAATTGGGCCTCTTAATTGCAGTAGCTGCTGATTGCATGTATTAAAAACAGTTGAAGAGGGGCAGCATCCCCGTCTTGGGGGACGCATGGAAACAAAGCGGGAGCCTTGCTGTGCCCGGCACGAGCGGTGGCTCTGAGCTCACCTGGAGCTCAGTCCCTGTCCTTCCTTGTAGGGCTGCTCTGTTAATGCATTAGTGCCCTGATAATATTAATGCATTAATGGATCCCGGAGGGTTTGCTGGAGCTGTGGCCGCGAGTGGGAGGTCGATTGGGTAGAAATGCACTAGCAGAGGTCGTGCTCAGGACAGCTGGTCCCTTTGCGAGGCCGGTGACCTTCCCTCTAAGTGGCATTGACGGATTGACTTGATAAAACACAGATTAGGGTATCCCTGAGTGCTGAGAAGCTGCAGGAGATGTCCCGGGAGGGAGGTACTGCTGGAGCTGGGTGCATTGCAGCATCGCCCTCCAGGGCCTTTGGGTACCCGGTCTGTGCACAGCATCCCCTTCTGCCCCCCTTTAACCAAGTCACTCAGGGTGTAAAGCATCTCCCAGCTGGAAAACCCGGGGACAGAGAAGGGGGTGTCGGTGACGCTGCACGCGGAGCGGCAGGGATGGACGGTGACCCCCGG